GCCCTCCAGTCTGGGTGACAGAGTGAGACTCCAACTCAAAAAAAAAAAAAAAAAGAGTTACAGTGTTCATTATTTCCTACCTGAACGGGTCTAAATAGTCCCTTCCCCCAGAGCAGGACTGCTCATCTCTAGCTTTGGGGACTTTTGGTGATAATCTAATCTCTAGCCTATACCCTGAAGGGACAGCTCTATCTACACACACACAACAGACACCTTCTCCACTATGCAGGCACCTGCAAAACACTGAGCACCCACTCTTGTTCCCACACACTCTCTTGGAGTGGAGATTCCACTCAGTTCCCTGAAAGTACCAACTTCCCAAGAGGACAAAGTTAACACTACATCTCATTTCCATTTCATAAACACACTGTGCTGAGTATGGTAGAGAACATTTGCAGGACGTTAGCAAATATGCTTTAGAATGGGATGGACTCTATGCCCATTACACAACAACTCCGCACTCCCCTTTCTTTCAGCCCCTGGCAACCACCATTCTACTTTGTTTCTATGAATGTGACTACTCTGTGTGCCCCATCTAAGTGGAATCATACAGTATTTGTCTTCTGTAACTGGCTTATTTCACTCAGCATAATGTCCTCAGGTTCATCCATGGAAAATTCTGAACATACACAAAAGAAGAGACAAGTATTATGAGAACCTATGTCTCCCATCAGCTTTAAGGTGTATGAATTCTTAGCTAGTCTTGTTTCACACCCCCACAGCCCTTCAAAGCCACAGGACTATTTTGAAGCAGTTCATCAAATTAGGAAGACAACTCTCTATTAATATATTTTATTGATCCTCATATATGCCTTTTTTCTCATCTCTGAAATTTGAATACAACATGTAATCTATGACAGGTGTAGTTTAATTTTCAGTGTTTTTTTCTTTCTCAATATTACAAAAATAATGACACATATTGAAATTGACAAAATAGGATAGCGAACCATATGATAGTATATTGCTATCTTCTAAAGTGTGTGTTTAGAGTCTAACAACTCTAAAACTTTTCAGGTAAGGGGAGATTGGCATGAGAAACTTAATCCCAGCACTTTGGGAGGTAGAGGTGAGAGAAATGCTTGAACTCATGGGTTTGAGACCAGCCTGGGGCACATAGCGAGACCTCGTCTATATAATAAATCAAAAATTAACCAGGCATGGTGGTGCACACCTGTAGTTCCAGCTACTTGTAAGGCTGAAGCGGAAGGATCGCGTGCATCCAGCAGGTTGAGGCTGTGGTGGCTGTGAGCATGCCATTGCCCTCCAGCCTAGGTGACAGAGTGATACTCCAACTCAAAAAAGAAAATCAGAGAAACTTCATGGTAGCAATGAACTTGTGCTGGGAAATTTGTGAGAGAATTTTGGGTTGATGTTGAGTAGGAAGAAGGAGAATTTCCAGTCCATGAAGAGGCTTGGACAAAGACACCAAGGTAGAAATAAGTGTGGGGTTCTCCGGATAAGAGTTGTGGCCTAGGAAGTGAGGTCAGGCTGATGTGGCATGAGGGGACGGTAAGAAAAACAAGAAGGTAGATGAAGGAGAGAGAAGGAAGGCCCTCAGAGAATTCCCTCTGATTGAAGCTTGCATCTCCCTGCCACAGGGCCAACCCTGCCCTATTCCCCAAAGACCTGGCCTCAGCGACCCCCAAGGCTTGGGGATCGCTCTCATCTCTCTTCTTTGAACTTGCAATATCATTTTCCACTCACATCACTCTTTTTTCTACACAATCTATACTGCCTTGTACGTTTTTAATCTTTAAAATTTTAACATCTATTTCACAAGTAACATTGTTAGAATGATAAGAGATTTTTTTTTAAATCACTAAGAGTTTTACCACTCTGGCAAATGAATTCTTTTCATTATCCCGTGGGCCTTGCAGTTCTTGTCCATATTTATTATTAAACATCCTTTTAATGAACATGTGCACACTCCCCAGGTAGAGGCTGGCTCCTGTGAACACAGAGTCTGCGTTCACATGCTGCATGTCACTGTGCTCCTGGTCCTTGGTACTAGGCGACAGGCTGATGTTGCATGAGGGGACTTTAGCAATGTTCTGGACTATCAGGAGATTAAAAGGAGTGAGAGATAGAGATGTCCCTGCTCAAGTGACTTTTGTCTTAAGGAAGTCTGACAGGAGACTGTTGCACTGCTCAAAGAAAGAGGTGCTGAGAAAAGGAACTTATGGGGGAAAATGCTTCACATAAGGTATTGTTAGGCACTGGACACTAATTAGGACACAGAGGTGAGGAAAAGGAATAATTCAAAGATGATGTTAAGTCTGGCCCACTAGGAAAATGAAAATGTCATTGACGGACATAGGAAGTTGGGAGGGGGATGCTGTGATGGTGAGGACAAGGAACACTGCATGTGGCTTCAGTCATGAGCTTGAAGTCACAAAGAGATGTCCAAGTAAAAAAATGCCAGTACCTAGGCTGGGGAGAAGTTTCTTGAGAGAGAGAGAGAGAGAGAGAGGTGAGCTGGTAGATGGAGCCAGCACCCCTTGTTTGGGTCTTACCCCAGTCCTCCCCTAACTCTGTTGTCCCAGATTGTTTTCACAGAACGATTTGAAAATAAACTGAATCCCAGCGCATCTTCCATTGACCTGATCCACTGCTCAGGTTACAAGAGTGTGAACTCGTCCCTGACGATATCCAGTGACCAAGCGCCACATGCAGTGTCTTCCACATCTCAAAAAATGCAAAAGACCAGCAATGAGGAGATGGAGCAAGTTTGGGTGCCTAACAACACTTATGAAAGTCAGGGGAGGATTCAACCACTGGTCCCTTCCTCATCCGTGTCTCTACAGCCCAGTACCCACACCATCATCCTGGATTTCTCCATGGTACATTACGTGGATCCACAAGGTTTAGAAGCACTGAGACAGGTAAGTACCGGGGAGGCTTTAGCAGGAGCTCTGACCCCCCTCTCCAAGCCCACCAGAGGCTGATTGAATCCTGTTAGTCACTGATCAGCTGCTATGTGATTGCTAGGCCAACAGAAGCTTGGCACTGAAGGGAGTTAAAGGTCAATCAAAATAAAAAGAAAATGAACCCACTCTCACTCATTTAACTAGTCTTGGTTTAGTAAGCACGGCACATTATTATTTCTTAAGAAATGAAGTAAAGGACACTCTTAACACCATTGAGACAGCAATCTGTGCTCTGCCCAGTGACTCCTAGGACAAGCTGGGAGTTTGCTGCAAACTTTTTCAAGGGGTAGGTCTGAATGCTACAGAGCAAAGAAGTTCACTGAGAATGCTCCACTGTTCTGCTGCTCTGAGCTGGCACTATACAGGGCACATGGCTGTCTTGTACTCAGATTTGAAGATGGTATGATGAAATGACACCTCAAACTTGGGGCTGCCTGTCCAGTACCTGCAGGGTCTTCCCCACTTCCCTTTCCCATTGCGAAAAGGACAGGGAAGATTTTTCCTTCAAGAGTGGTGTCCCCAGGTCCTGACTTGTCTCCCATTCTCGGGTTTCTTTAACAGTCCTCGCAGTCCTCGCGTCTCTTCTTCCTATGTAGTGCAGATGGCTTAGGTGCACAACTCACCATATTGATTTCATTGTTCAGTGCCTCATAAATACAATGTGACTTTTCAGCCAGCTTGTATAGGTTTCCAACACTCCATCCCACACTTGCTCCTGTTGGTAATGGCTCAGGCTGAAACATCCTGAACACTCACTTCCTGGCTCTGTCTACACCCACCTTCATTTGAGATACGCTCCTTTAGCTGGTTTTCCTTCTTTCTTTCCTTTTTATTCTTTTTTTTTTTTTTTTTGAGTTGAAGTCTGACTCCGTTGCCCAGGCTGGAGTGTAGTGTCATGCTCACCGCTACCCCAGCGTCGACCTGCGGGGCTCAGGCAATCCTTCTGCCTCAGCCTTCCAAGTAGCTAGAACTACAGGTGCACGCTACCACACCTGACTAATTTTTTGATTTATTGTAGAGATGAGGGCTCGCCATGTTGCCCAGGCTGGTCTCGAACCCACAGGTTCAGATAATCCTCTCACCTCGGCCTCTCAAAGTGCTGGGATTACAGGCTTGAGCCACCACTCCTGGCCTGGTTTTCCTTCTTTCATTCTCAGATCCTATTTTATCATATTTTCTTATTCCTAAAGGAATATGGTTCTCTCTTAAGTGAGTTCAGTTCCTCTTTTGTCTAAGACAACAGGATGCTTTTCAGAGTAGGAAGAACTCTGGCTGGCGGTCTGGGGTTTATACTCTGTCCTGGCTTTATGCTCACAATCCATCTCACCCTAGGCAAGTTACTAAATTGCACTGGGTCTTGGTTTCCTCGTCTATAAAATGAGAAGTTTGGAAGAGATCAGCATTAAGAGTTTTCCCTCCCACACATTCTTTTTTCAACCACCCCATTTTCAGACTCAAGCATACTTGAAATGTTTTTGTTTTGGGGGTTTTTCCATCTTAGGTCATTCTACTGGGGCTGTGTTTTTGCCTCCCAGGCTTGTACCATAGTTGTTACTTGAGATTTCATTTAACCCACATTGCAAATGCCTACTACGTGCCAGGCTGAGTTGGGCACATGTATACACACTATTTCATGTAATCTTCACAATGGCCTTGAGAGGCAGCCCATTTTGTCCCCTGAGAGTCTAAAGCCCACAGCTACTAACTGGCCTGCTTAGCATTTGAACTTTAAGCATCTGACTTTATATCATGCATTCCCATAGTATAGTTGTGCCATCCTTTCCTCTCTCTCCTCCCTTTTCTGTAGAGGCGCCATATGTTCTGGTCCTTGGCACCACCCATCCCCACCTGGCCCACGTTGATGGCTTTCTGCTCCATCCCAACATGGAGACAATATCAGACACATTTACCTTACAGCCTTCAGCAATTCATGGTGCACTTCTGCACTCTAAAATACAAGTTTATGTATTCCCTTTGTAATCGTTCTGTATACCACCTTATTGGAGGAAATAATTATATTTTATTTAATTTTTTACCTGTTTTTTTTTTTTTTTTAGAGAAGGGGGTCTTGTTATATTGCCCAGACTGGTCTCAGACTCCTGGGCTCAAGAGATCTTCCTGCCTCTGCCTCTCAAAGTGCTGGGATTACAGACCCAAGCCACAGTGCCTGGCCTGTTTTGTTTACTTTATAATTAAAAACTTAAAACTACTAAGAAAAATGTCAGCAGTCCATTTTTGTTGGAGACAACCACTCAGATTAAAATTCATGGGATTTCTCTTTCCTATTGCTTGTCATTTAGAGCCTGTCTGTTGTGGCCCTTTACTGAGTGACTTTATGACTTAGCATACAATCAAGAATGACTTTCTTGTTTCTTCCTGATATTGAAAGAAGCAGTCTGTTTCACTGGTTTCTTTTGATACTTTAACTCAGTGCTTAGTGTTAGAGTCTGCTCCATCTTAGAGCCTTAACATTGATACTGACTTCTTTGAAATGAACTTCAAGATTTATTGCCCCATAGTATATACATTGGCTGAAGTAAACTTGAGGCCACTATCTGATGTTTTACTAAGTTAAATGCAACCTTGCAGGGCAGTAATGAAAGTGATGCTCAGAGTTTCTGAATTCTGTTCCCTACTGTATCACTTGATCATCTCTGGGTCACATCTGGCTATCTCTGCTCAGTGAACTCCATAAAGAAGGGGGTCACATGTAAACACTAAGCCACAATACCAAAGTGTGGTTGTTCACAATGACTCTCCAGAGTGTCTCCATCATCCTTGGACCTGTCTGTATCCTAGGGCTTTCCTCTAGTGAACATTCTCTCTTGATATATCCTGATTCTCCCCTTGGGATGCTGGGCAAGCCTCCCTCTTGCTTCCAATCCCCACAAGACTGGTCTGATTATCCTTTGTATTCCCAGCACTTTAGACATTTTCTGCCATACAGAAGTCCACTCATCAAATGTTTGTAGAGCTGAATTGAGCTGCAAAGGTACATATACCCTTGACATGTGAATGGCCAAAAGGGTTTTAAAACTCAGCTAATTAGAGGGCCTTTTCCTAGCGAGTCTGAAGCTTTCTGACACTGACTTGCTCTCTTCCCTACAGATGTGCATTGCTTTTCAAAACGCCAACATTTTGGTGCTCATCACAGAGTGTAACTGTGAGTATCTCTCACCCTATCAGAGGGTTGTTTTGCACTCTGGGTCCTCTGCTTCCCAGGTGTCTGACACTGCGCATGTTCTGGATTTGGTTTGTAGCTTCTGTGATCAGGACATTTGAGAGGAATGATTTCTTTGGCACTGGCATCACCAAGTCCCATCTGTTCCTCAGCATTCATGACGCCGTGCTGTTTGCCTGGTCAAAAAAGTTTCGAGACTCCTCCGAGTTAAGCCTGGATGAATCTGAGACAGTGATACAGGAATCCTACTCAGAAGCAGACAAGGTTGGACAAACAGACAGACAAATCATGGGGTTAGGGGTTGGGCATGGGGGTGGGGAGCGAGCAGATGCCCAATCAGATAGAGGTGAACAAAGTCCAGGAAAGGCATTTAGAATGGCTGTGCCAACATTTGAGATGTTGGAATTCTCCCTTACTGATTGTGAAATAGCAGTGGACCTGAGTCGCCAAGTACCGCCACTGCCATGGCGTCTGGGTCCCATTCAGGACACTGCCCCAACTGAAGAGAAGGTTTACCCAACCCAACAGAGACCTCAAGGATCCTTTCGCAGCTATCTTGGCCAGTTTCTATGCCATGCCAATTGCTAAGTATTTAAAATATCTCCCTTAGCTATACCTTTAGAACCCACCCCCACCCACTAATGCAAAGGGGAATAACATATGGCTCAGAGTTTTTAGTCATTTATTAATACTAAGTAAAGACTGGGCCTACTTCAGCATTTTCAAATCAGTACCTGTGTAAGTTAAAGTTTTCCCCAAAAAGGAAATTAAAATGCAGACAGGCACCAAAATACTATCTAATGACTAGAAATCATATGTAAATTAAGCCCCTGAATCTTTGACTTTTTGCAATAATGTCTGAACTTTTTTTTTTTTTGAGTTGAAGTCTCACTCTGTCGCCCAGACTGGAGTGCAGTGGCCGCTGCCGGGCACCGCAGCCTCGACCTGCTGGGCTCCGGCGATCCTTCCGCCTCAGCCTTCCAAGTAGCTGGAACTACAGGCGCACGCTACCACGCCCGGCTAATTTTTTTGATTTATTGTAGAGATGAGGTCTCGCCAAGTTGCCCAGGCGGGTCTCGAACCCATGGGCTCAGTCAATTCACTCACCTCAGCCTCCCAAGGCGCGGGGTTACAGGCTGAGCCACCGAGCCTGGCTAACTTTTTTTTTTTTGTGGTGGAGTCTCACTCTGTCGCCCAGGCTGGAGTGCAATGGCACACTCACAGCCACCCCAGTATTGGCCTACTGGGTTCTGGCGATCCTTCCACCTCAACCTTCCAAGTAGCCGGAACTATAGGCGCACATGCCTGGCTAATTTTTTTTATTTGTTGTAGAGACGAGGTCTCACCAAGTTGCCTGGGCTGGTCTCGAATCCATGGGTTCAGGCAATCCACTCACCTCGGTCTCCCAAAGTGCTGGGATTATAGGCTGAGCCATGGAGCCCGGCCTGTCTGAACTTTTTAATGAAATAAAAAGTATTACCAGAGTAGTGGTTTTAATCTAGGAAGTGGCTGGTCCAAGTGCAGTGGTGTTTAACACTAATAGATCACAACCAGTTACAAATTTCCTTGTTTCTTCTCCACTCCCACTGCTTCACTTGACTAGCCTTTAAATAGACAAATAAATAAATAGATCAATAAATAATTCCAAGAAGTAAAATATATCCTGGCTTGTAAAATACAGATTTTTTCTTTCTTTTAAAATAATGTAGGCTGGGCATGGTGCTCACACCTGTAATCCTAGCACTTTGGGAGACCAAGGTGAGAGCATTGCTTGAACCCAGGAGTTTGAGACCAGCCTGGGCAACAGAGTGAGACCTAGTTTCTACAGAAAAATAAAAAATAACTATCCAGGTGTGGTGGCACACATGTCTGTAGTCCTGGCTACTTGGGAGGCTAAGGCAGAAGGACTGGAATCATGCCACTGTACTCCAACCTGGATGACTTAAAAAAAATTAATAAATAAAAATAATGAGCCAGGCATGGTGGCTCACATCTGTAATCCCAGCACTTTGGGAAGCGGAGATAAGAGGATTGCCTGAGCTCAGGAGTTGGAGATCAGCCTGAGCAATATGTTGAGACCTCTTCCCTACAATAAATCAAAAAATTAGCTGAGCATGGTGGCATATGCTGCTACTTGGAAGGCTGAGGCGGAAGGATCACCTGAGCCCAGTGGGTCGAGGCTGTGGTGGCTATGAGCATGCCACTGCACTCCAGTCTGGGCAACAGAGTAAGACTGACTCAAAAATAAACAAACAAACAAATTCACTCGCCTCGGCCTCCCAAAGTCCTGGGATTACAGGTTTGAGCCACCTCAAAATCTGTCAAAAGCACAGATCAGCATATATGTACCACCTCCAGATCATCAAATATCCTTAGGACAAAAGTGGCCCCAAATGCCAGATTCTCCTCTCTTTATTTCTACCTTTTCCCAAATCGACCTGGTAATTCTTCCACCTCTCTTTATTTCTACCTTTTCCCAAATCTTGGGAAATATATATATATTATATATATTTATATATATAATATATATATATAAATTTTTTTTTTTAACCCAACTCTTCTAGCTGTCCACAGTTGGAGAGTTGGTCTGAATAATGTTGTCTGCTTCTACTATAAACAGAAGTTTATTTTATTTTCATTTATAATTAGAATATTCTCAATATATTTGTTTTTACATATTATTTGGTCATATCTATTACTCTTTCCTTTTTTAATTTTCATTTACTTTTTATTTAGAAAGTCATTCCCACTTAGATGGCCAGGTGCAGTGACTCACACCTGTAATCTCAGCACTTTGGGAGGCTGAGGTGGGAGGATTACTTGAGCCCAGGAGTTCAAGACCAGCCTGGGCAACATAGCAAGACCTTATCTCTACAAAAAAAAAAAAAAAAAAAAATTAGCTGGGTGTGGTGGTGTGCACTTGTAGTCCCAGCTACTCAGGAGGCGAAGCAGAAGGATTGCCTGAGCTCAGGAGGTGCACTCAGCCTGAGTGACAGAGTGAGATCCTGACTCAAAAAAAAAAAGAAAAGAAAAGAAAGTAATTTCCACTTAAAATAAATAAGAATATGTTTTCCTCTAGATTTTTATGTTTTTTATCTGTTATACTCTTTAACTGAGTTTGAATATATTTCAGTACTGAAGCGTGATCGTTATTATTTAACTTATACAGCTAACCATTTTGAGCTATATACCATCTGTCTTTGTTGTTAATGATGCAGTAACAAAATATCTGAGACGGTAATTTATAAACAATAGAAATGTAGTACCTACACTTCAGAGGCTGGGAAGTTCAAGATCAAGATGCTGTAGGTTCGGTATCTGGGAAGGGATCGTTCAATCTTCTTGCAGCAGCATCCTCACATGGTAGAAGGTGGAAGGACAGAAGGGCCTAGGCTAGTTCCCTCTTTCCCTTTTATAAGGCACTACTCTACTCATTAGGACAGAGCCTTCAGGACTTAATCACTTCCCAAAAAGCCTCACCTAATACCACTACAGTGGGGGTTAAGTTTCAACATGAAATTTGGTGGCCACACATTCAAACCACAGCACTGCCTAACTGTCCATTGAATAAGCCTTCTTCCCCCCTCTGATTTGATATATTTTTTCATAAAGTAGTATATTCTAAGAAAACTAGAGTCTATTTCTAGCTGAGTTTTTGGTTTCTTTGTTCTGTGTGGCTTCACACTGTTTTGATGACTATTGCTGTACAACACATTTTCATATTTGGTTAAGAAGTCCTTGTGTCATAAGTGTTCTATTTCAAAATTTGCTAAGTCATTCTCACCAGTTAATTCTTCATAACCAACTTTTGAATGTTTTGTCAGTTCCTCTCACAAAAAACTCCTGTTAGAATTTTCATTAGATTTGCGCTTAAAATATAAAAATAGCTTGAGAATTCATACATTTACAGTATTCGTTCTACTTATCCAGAGACATGAACTATCTATTGGCTCTTTTTATTTTATGTATTCATTTATTCACTCATTTATTTCTGAGTCAGGGCCCCATTCTGTAGCCCAGGCTGGAGTGCAGTGGTATAATCATGGTTCACCACAGCCTCAACCTCCTGGGTTCAGGTGATCCTTCTGTCTCAGCCTCCCAAGTAGCTTGGACTATAGGCACGTGCTACCACACTTGGCTAAATTTTTTATTTTTATTTTTATTTCTTAGAGACAAAATCTTGCTATGTTGCCCAGGTCTCAAACTCCTGGACTCAAGCAACCTTTCTGCCTTTGCCTCCCAAAGTGCTGGGACTAGAGGCATGAGCCACTGCACCCAGACTATTGTCTTTTTAAACGCTTCATTTATAGTAAGATTTTGTGACTTTCTTCTAAAAGATAAATCCTAGATACTTGCATTTTTACATTTGGTATCTTTAACTAATGTTCTTATCATTATATTTTCTAACTGGTAATGGCTAGCATATTGGAAACTCATTGATATTGTCATTAAATTTTTTTTACTGCTTTTGTGAATCATTTTACTAATCCTAAGATGTTTCGTTGTTAATTCTGTTGGGTCTCCTAGGTAGAAAAATATTTTTAAAAATAATACTTATCTTTTATTTTCTAATTGTTAAAATTCTTATGTCAATATCATATATTATTGCATTAACAAACCTCCCAGAACACTTTAAGTAATAGTGATGAGTCATTTTACTCTTAAATGTAATAAGAAAAGCTTCTCGTGTGTCTCTATTTTTTTTTTTTTGTCACCCAGACTGGAGTGCAGTGGCCACTCCCAGCCACCGCAGCCTCGACCTGCTGGGCTCCGACGATCCTTCCACCTCAGCCTTCCAAGTAGCTGGAACTACAGGCGCGCGCTATCATGCCCAGCTAGTTTTTGATTTATTGTAAAGATGAGGTCTCGCCAAGTTGCCCAGGCGGGTCTTGAACCCACAGGCTCAGGCAATCCACTCACCTCAGCCTCCCAAAGCACAGGATTACAGACTGAGCCACCGAGCCCTGCTGTGTGTCTCTATTAAGGCTAGTGGTGACAGTGGTTTAAGATGGAGATTAGCTACTATATTTTTAAAAAGTATTTTTCTAGTTTACTAACATTCTTATGAAGACACTTAAGATAGGGGAGAGTAGGTGAGCAGCAAGTTCTTCCTCATACGTATTAAATTTAAGATGCCTATTAAACATTCAAGTGGAGATGCCAAGAGTGGAAGTGAATATATGAACCTACAGATCAGGGGAGGGGTTATAACCAAAGGAGTATCAGCATATAGATGATAATGAAAGTTGTGTGCCTATTGGGAGAGTGTAGATGGAGAAGGGTCCCAGGATCAAGCCTTGAGGCATACCATCATTTAGAAGTCCAATAGAAGTAGAGAGGATAGTAAAGGGACCAAGAAGAACCAACTGGGAAAGGAGAAAAAGCAGAAGCGTGTCCTATGGTGGGTGAGAAGAAAATGTGTCAGGAAGGGTGAAAGCAATCAGTTGTTTGGAACAATGCTGCAAGGTTGATTTACCACGTCTCATGGCAACTGCTGTGTGATAGGCCCAGTGCCTGGTACTGAGGATATCAAGAACCAGGCACTGCCCTACCTCAAGGATCTTAGAGTCTAGTAGGGGACAGATGTGTAAATAAACAAGACAATATATTACCAGTACTATGATAGAAATGTGAGTGAGATATAGTTGGAACACAAGCGGGGGCTCGGATCCTGGCTGCTCATATCTGAATTTGGAAGGATGAATAAGTGTATGTGGACAAGATGGAGAAGGATAAGGCAGGCAGAGGGAGTAACACTTGCAAAGGTCAACAGCAGTCAGGCAACTTTGGGTAACTTTATGGCAGGAGCAATGGGTGAGGATCACAGTTGAAATAAAGCTAAAGAAGATGGTGTATCAGTCCGTTTTGCATTGCTGTAAAAGAATACCCGAGGCTGGGTAATTTCAAAGAAAACAGGTTTATTTAGGTTTACAATTCCACAGATTTTACAGGAAGCATAGCATTGGCATCTGCTTCTGGTGAGACCTAAGGAAGTTTATAATCATGGCACAAGGCAAAGGGAGAGCAGGCATGTCATATGGTGAGAGAGAAAGCAAGAGGGAGCAGAAGAGATGTCGGACTCCTTTAAACAATCAGTTCTCATGTGAACTAATAGAGCAGAACTCAATCATTACCATGAGAATCCATGGTATGGCACCAATCCATTCATGAGGGATCCGTCTCCATGACCCAGATATGTCCCACTAGGTCCCACCTCCAACACTGGGGATCACATTTCAACATGAGATTTGTGAGGAGAAATATCCAAACTATATCAGATGGCAAGAAGTTAGGTCACTAACAGCCTTGCCTGCCCTGTCAAGGATTGCTTTTGGGGTTGGCAAGACAAGATCAGGAAGACAAGATGTGTCAGAATGTTGTTAAGACCATTGCTGTTTAAACGGTTGATTGTGGCATCCAGACTAGCTAGAAAAAAACAGAGAGATCGTAAGTTGGGAATTGAGTCTGAAGAATAGTGAGTAACTGAGAAACCAGGGGGTACAAAGAAGATTGAGGAAGGAAATTTTTTCTGTGTGGTCAGGAACCCATGATTCTGGTACCTTAAGTCCTGCTGTATTCTGCAATTCCTTAGACTGTTCAGAAGTTATATTTAATTAGAAATTTTAACCCACCTAATTGTGTATATTTCAGAATGACAACTCAATACAAAAAATGAGCAGTAGCTTTCTAGAAAGCCCAAAAAAGCCCAGTGTAAGCTTCAGTAAGATCCAGGAGCCAACAGAAGAGAAGGAGTCAGAGCTAAATTTGAACCTGGAGCAAATGCTGGAGTCAGAACAAGAAAGTGGGCTGGATCTGGACCTACTCCTGGACCTGGGGCTGAAGCCTGAAACAAAGCCAGAGACCAAGACAGAGACCAAGATGGAAATGGAGCCCGCGTCTCAACCCAGGTCAATGGCTCTTAGTGCTTCTCCGCGGCATTACTGGCCTGTGTATATGCCTTCAACTCCCACCACTCAGCCTCAGGGTCAGCCTCAGACACGATCAGTGGAGGAGAGACGACGTCACATGGATTCATACTTATCCGAAGGCAACTACTATGAGAATTCCTGGGAAGCAAAGGAGAAATAAGGGGTCAGAAAAATCTTCCTGCCCAAAAGGGTCACTCGGTCCAGAGACCTAGACTGGATACTAACCTGCAGTCCTTGCTCTGTGACTCCTCCACCTGCTGGCCTTCTTTCTCCCTCAACGCTGGGCCCACACTCCCAGATCACATTAATAAATGCCAACATTTATCTCTGAACTCCCTATCCAGGCTCCTCTCTTTTTTCCTTTGAACAGATATTCTAGTGATGAATTTCCTTCTTAACGCACCCCGCATCTGAGGTTTGTGGCAGACCATCTCTAACTTACTCCTCTCATCTCTGTTCCCCTTTCTCCAAAGGCATGAGGCCCAAATAAAATACATAACTCTAGTTACATTTGGATCCTTCCTGCACCTACCTTCTCTCTTCTCTGTATTGTGTATCCCCAAAGAACAGTCAAACAGGAGGGCTTTCTGAAGGGAGTAAACACAGGAGAGAAGAGAAGAACAAGAAAAAGAAAAATTGAGTAGCATTTGTATTTATATGCAAGGTATCTCACTGTACTAACGGGGACGATGGGGGAAATAGGCAGGTTAAGCCAGGCCAGAGGTAAGCCAGGCCAGAGGTAAGCCAGCCTGCGAGGCTCAGAGTACAAGGACTTGCTGAGCTGAAAGCACTTGCCTTCACTCCCAGAGCTCAAGGTCTTATCCTGCCACTGGTTTCATAATGTTCGCTTTAAGGAACTCTCTCCCTTGTCTTCAGATTCACATCCACCACTGCTTCCTTCTTACAGGTTTTTGAGATATAGGCAATCTGGAATCTGCTCTTGGCGGGTCAAACTTAATTAAAATCCCCCTAGGAGTTGGAAAAGCTAATTATTACTAGTGTTGTCCAAATCCATTACAAAAAATTTCCCCTTTCTCATTAAAAAATTTCTAGTATCAAACGATGAGCTGAAGAAAAATATAGACCTCTGTGCAAAAGCATATTAAATTTTACATTTTCTTTCCAACTTAATAAACATGACTCCTCAATTTTTCTTGTTTGTTAAATGAAAGATATCTTCATTGAAATATAGATGTATCTTATAGAAATGGCATATACATTCACTCACTTCACAAGCATTTTGTTAAACATTTGCTACTGGCACCTCATACTGTGAGGAAGATAAAAAATATATATAGTATCCCAATTTACACATGCATAAAGACTCAGAAGTTTTGTAACTAGCCCAAGGTCATATACAATATGGCCTTCTGTATATAAGACAAGTAGGGACCCAAGTCGTCACAAGCTTCATTTTTTTTCATGTTTGCTGAACACATTTTGAACTCCTACCATGTACCAGGCACTGTCCCAGATGCTGAAGACACAGGCTGAGCAGAATAGATGAGAAAAATAATTATAAATTTCGAAAAGGACCTTGCAGGTGAAATATGAGAAACTGAGGGCATATATCAAGAGTACCTGACCTAGTGTGGGATGTCAAGGAAGTTCTTATGACAATGATATATGATCCAGGATCTGAAGGATGAATAGGAGTTAGGCTTAAAGGATGTTTCATTGACTGCTAGGAGTGCAGAGCCAAGTAGAGAATCAAGAGTGGTGACCATGCTTGAAAACAGAAGCTAAGAATTCAGGGACACGACCAGATGGAGCCTATGATACCAAAAACTCCACTAAAAACTGGGTCAAACCAGGAATAAGTTGTCAGGGTAGCAGGGATGGGCATAGAAATCTGTCAAAACCAAGAAAACATTGCATATTTATAATAGAAGACTAAGTGCATGGGTGCCCATTTATGTGGGCTGGGCCATCTCACTCCAGTTCTCTCTATTCCATGTTTCTGTCAGAGAAAGGTCTTTAAACACAAAATCAATGGCTTCTGACACTTGGGAAGTAAGTGGCAGAGTCTAAATTTTGGTCCTTTCTGCTACAACTGCAACATGGCTAAATCTTTGCTTTGATGCATGACCTCAGAAAGACCAACCAGATGCTATATCTACAGTCTATCTAAAAAATATTCTGGCATGAACCCATAGCATCCAACCTCTCCCAAGTTAATCAGATAAATAAAAATGGTACAGTATTCAAGACAGAGTAAAGTGACTAACAAGTCAAAAGCTAAGTCTTCCAAAATGCAGATTACCTGAAATTCTGAGATATTTTAAACTTATAAAATGGTATGGTTTGGATTGGTTAGCTCAGTTTTCACAGCATGGTCATCATGGTTTGTTTGTTTGTTCTTGTTTGTTTTTTAAGATCACAAACTTTTAAATTAAGAATAAATTGAACTTGATATCTGAAGGGGAAAAAAATTAAGTTCTTTTTTGCCTGCAAGGCAGCACTATAGTTGTCAAGCAGCGTCCTCAAACAGAGCTAAAACTGCTATTATATAAGTTTTGGTCTTCAGGGATTTGGGGACTTTCTTTTTAATTTTATTTTGTTTTAGATTCAAGGGGCACATGTGCAGGTTTGTTACATGGGTGTATTGCATGATGGTGAAGTTCGGGCTTTTATTAAGGCCCATCATCCATGAGTACCCGATGAGTGATTTTTCAACCCCTAACCTCTCCCTTCTCCCATGGTTTTATCTTTCTAATAAAAAACTGGAGAACAATTCTAAAGACTGCAAAACTTGTAAAGACCAAATCTGCAATTTAAATGTCTTAGAACAAACTTTTTCCATTACTGAAGAAAATAACCCTCAAAACAGCTTGTATTCCACAGTAAATGGGGTTTGGAGTATGGTTTTTAATCTGTGATGATCTAAATGGATTTCATAGAACTTCAGAAAAGTAAGTTTGGAAAAGACTAGTCAAAAATGAAGAGATCCCAGGTAGCTGCCTCTAAATATGTTGGGTATCACAAAGCCCAAGGACTCTTCTAGATTTAACTCTCATGGATCAGCAGTACAGAGAAAGTGGTGGCATAATCCAAGGTTATTAATGATCTTGGGGTCATAGAATCTGAATGCTTAGAAGGACTATGAGAGCTATCTAGTTTAATTACCCATTTAACCTCTTTCAATTTAGTTCAACATTTAGCGGAACACTCACCATATCCTACATACTATGTGTTTTAATAATCTACTGCTGCATAATAAACTACCCCAACTTTAGTAGCTCATGATTCCGCAATCTAAGTTGGGTTTAGCTGGGCCCATTCATATGGCTCCATTCATCTGGAGATTCAACTGGGGCTGGAAATCAATGAAGGCTTAATCACATGTCTGATATCTCTACTAGGAAGGCTGGAAGATTTGGAGGCTGACTAAGAATCTCTCTCTTCACAATGTCTCTCCAGTAGGATACCATACTTTATAGGGTGGCTTAAGGCAGCGTGTGACTTCTACCGCATTCTATTGACCAAAATAAATGACATGATCAGCACTGATTCAATGTGAGGGGAAATACACTCTACTTCTTGAAGAGAGGAGTAGTAAAGAATTTGTGACCATTTTAAATTCACCACATTATGGTAAGTATGAGGATAAAAGGATAAATAAAACATTTCTGCCAGCTATAAACATTGTGAGAAGAGAGTGTGATGAACTCCTAAATTATTACAGTGGAATATGAAAAGGTGATAAGGAGAGATTAAGTTTTATAGATGACAGGAAGGGTTAGAAAGATCTTGAGTCAAGGAAAACTAGTGAGAGAAAATGACATCTGTGCTGGACATTAAGAATAAGTAGGAATCACTATATGTAATAAAAAAAAAAAAAGGAAATACAGTTGTCCCATGGGGGATTGGTTCCAGGACACCCCTGGGGAGACCAAAATCCACGGATGCCCAAGTCCATAATATAGCTATGTATATCCTCTCATATACTTTAAATCATCTCTAGATTGCTTATATAAATGCTATATAAATAGTTGTCATACTGTATCTTAAAATGTGTATTTGTATTATTTTTTATTGTTGTATTCTACTTTTTTCCAAAATATTTTTGACCCCAGGTTAAATCTGCAGATGTGAAACCGACCTATAAAGTAATCTTACCAAAAGTTGAACCTGAATATTATCAATCCTGTAGATCTAACTACCAGATTATAGGAAATATAGGGAGTAGAGGAACATGTTGAATGATACTGGAAGGAAGTAATCAACAGAATCCAGAAAACTCAGCAGAACGAATTAGCCAGTCTCTTCAACAAATAAAATGAAAAATAAACCGGGCTCGGTGGCTCAGCCTGTAATCCCGCGCCTTTGGGAGGCTGAGGTGAGTGGATTGCCTGAGCCCGCGGGTTCGAGACCCGCCTACAATAAATAAAAAATAAATTAAAAATTAGCCGGGCGTGGTAGCGCGCACCTGTAGTTCCAGCTACTTGGAAGGCTGAAGCGGAAGAATCGCCGGAGCCCAGCAGGTCAGGGTTGCGGTGGCCGAGAGTGGCCACTGCACTCCAGTCTGGACGACAGAGTGAGACTCCAACTCAAAAAGAAAAAAAAAGAAAAATAAACACAACAACAACAACAAAAAGGGAAGGAACCTATAAACTAAGAGACTCAGGAGCCACATGAAATAAATGCAATGTGTGGACTCTGAATTTTGATTTGAACTAAATAACTGGAAAAAAAACATGAGAAAACTTCTACTTCTGAGTAAAATGTATAGAAGGTGACAGGCCACCACTCCCTATATACCAAGAGAAAAACGTAGTGAATTATAAACATCATATGTTAAAAGATATTGGAGAGCTTGCAGCAGAAGCAAAGAAGACTAAAAGAACTAAAAGTTAAGAGAGAGGGCCAGACGTGTGTGGTGCCTCATGCTTGTAATCCCAGCACTTTGGGAGGATTGCTTGACCTTGGGAGTTTGAGATCAGCCTAGGCAACCCAGCAAAACCTTGTCTCTAAAAATAAATAAATACATAGATAAAATACAAAGAGAGAAAAGACTCCTTCCTAGGTAAGTTGAGATTAATAGCCATTTTCTTTCTTTCTTTTTTTTTTTTAACAAAGTATATTTATTTATTTATTTAATTTTTTATTTTTTGAGTTGGAGTCTCATGCCATCGCCCAGACTGGAGTGCAGTGGCATGC